AGCTGTCAACGAAAATGCGCATGCTTTGTTTTGACGTTCACATCCAGCTGAATGGTTGATGAAAACAGATGAAAACGATGAAAACAATGGAAATTGAATGCCCTTTTTTGTATAATTGGACAGTGAGCATACATAAAGGCGTACACTGAACGAAAACATCCGCGATTCTTCGAATGACTGTTGCTTTGCTCGAGCCTTTTAACAATATGCTGTCGAATTTTGGATGATTGCCTTATGGTTGAATTCGTCATCAACTGATGAGCATCCATATGACTGTCCAAATTGTCTGTAAGTATAGGAAACTTCCTCCACAACGAAATAGATAATTTTTGGTTTCCACAGTTTATCAATGTTGAGTGTTCACTCGGCTGTCGACAGAAGCAGATCACTCTCAATGTGTGTCATGCGATCGTCTGTTTACTCGGCAGCAACCATTGTGTGGTCCTAATCATTGTTCTTCATCAGCAGTTCTTTCGGTCGATGCGTCGTCGACTTTGGAAAGCAATCGTTTCGTGATGCATGTGTGAGTGCTGTCCACGTTTTGCGTCCATATCTGCAATGGAAGCGCTCTGGCCCCCGTTGGTGATACTGCTATTCAAAGAAACCAATGGAAGCAGATTCCGTTCTGATGGAGGAGGCTTATTGGATAGCGGAAGATAAAATGTTTGTTGTGTTGTACCTTTGGACTATAGCTTTAAGATGTATTGTATAGTCAACAAGAATCCTCGGCTCTGTAAAGTTAATTCGGTTGAGCCTTATCAAATAGATTAATAAACAACAACAAAAAAGTTTACAAATGTTCGCACCTACTCTGATTGCGATGGCTATGCTTCCATCTCGTTTGTCTGCTCAGATAAGTAAATGACGTTCGATAAAATTATTTACTTAATCGTTTTGAATGATTTGCGGTATGGGGCTGAACGCATTTCAACTGAAGGCCCTATCCCTTCTCATAACAATTTTCATCCAGTATTCGAAAGGAAAATCATCTGATTTCAAAACAACCGTGATCCGGTTGCATTCGAGGAATGATTTCGATGTTTCGATTTGAATGGTCTGAGGTTTCATACGAACTTAGGACGGAAAGCACCGGATGCGAATCCCGTTCAGATGGAATCAACTTACCGGATGGCGGAGGAGAAAGTACTTTTCATAAAGTTTAAGTCGGAAGAAGCAATGCTGCATGTATTGATATATTATAAAGGTAGGCACATCGCCTGCGAAGAACCACGTTCTATATGTGTATATGATCTGCCATCGGAACAACAGCCACTGACTTCTAGTCAAGCATCGCAATAACGCACATTACTTCTACACATTTGGAATAGTATACTGATAGATTGACTGAATCTAGTATGTTTCAGGAAAGACTGTGGCATATTATCTTTTTGCGTGCTCTGAACTTAGTGTTCGAGATGCTCTTCCACAGTTATTAATTGAGAGCTTTCGATGCCTGTCCCATTTACGCAAGGCAAGTACAATCATACTCTTGCCCAGGGAAATCGAAAAAATTTTCAACCCGAAAAATTCCTAGACCGAACCGGGAATTGAACCCAGCCACCACCTTTTTTTTTTCCTTGATTTATTTTCCATCGATCTTGTTTTCCGTGCTGAGCACCAATTCCACCGACGCCAGCGAGGCAGCTCCCACACCTGGACCCTACCTATCGACCCATCAACTCATGAACCGGGGACCAACGGCTTTACTTCCCATCCGAAGGAAGGCGTGATCAGAGATGTTATGCCTCAGAACATCCCGGGGGCGCCGACTGGGATTGAACCCAGGCCTACTAGGGTGAGAGGTAATCACGCTTACCACTACACCACCGGTGCCGCTATGGTCTTGCTTTGTAGCAGTGCCTTTACCGACTGGGCTAAGGGAGGCCACCCAAATTCCACATGGCGTTTACCTTCTACAACGGATGGTCGTATCTCACGAGGGGCTGTAATAATTGTGCTTAATTAAAATCATGAAAAATGCAATGTGTTTAGTTCTGTGGAAAATCGCGTAAATTTTTTAGGTGATACGACAGTAGTATAGCGAGGATGAGCGGATAAAGTACGAAGTGGAGGAAAAGCGGCTTGATCTGGCTCTGGGAAAGCAGAAGGGAAAGGCAGATTGGTTCCAGGAAAAATAAAAAGAACTCATGAGTGTTTTACATTTCTTATAAAGAAAGGTATATACTACTTCGAGAACCAACTTTCGATTCGATTCCCGGTAGGCCGAGTGTCATATACCAATCGACTCAGTTCGACGATACCGGAAAATGTCTGTGTGTGTGTAACGAAATAATGTAGGTCATGTTTCTCGGCAACCACTGCACTGTATTAGACACAACAACCGCCAAATGAGAGGTACTTTGGTCTCAATGAACGCCATTGAATATTTTTGGAATTGGAACCGGAAACTTCCGGAGATATGGCCGGAACATTTTCCGGTGTGTATGGGCCACGATACTGCAACCGACCTGATACGATATGATCCGATTTCAAATCTTCCAAGAGAAGGGGACCTCCGGTATGCCCCCGAGGGAACCTGGAGCAGGGGAAAATTGGAACCTAAAGTTAAACATTGACCACATGGTAAGAAGATCTCATTATAGGTGGATAAATTCAGGTTTATTCTGTATTTTTTTCAAATTATATCTCGGCATTGTAGAGTGTTATAAAGACATTTTAGCTTACTAAATAAAGGAATAAGAAAAAAATGAGATAAATTTAAACGAGTTGTTTTTGGGAAGATTATTAAGAATTCGAAGGTAATTGTAGAGTAAATTCAAAATTCCTAATAGTTTCTGAAGAGAATTGCTAATGTATTATGGAGAATTTCAAGACAATGCCGGGGGAATCCCTTGTTTATTTAGGGAAGTTTTGAAATTAATTCTTGGTAAATTCTGTGTTTGATTAATAAAAAAATATTAATAATGTTATCCTTCATGGACCTAAAACCAATAGGGCAAAAGTTCGATTCAGTAGTGGATCAAAAGATGACAAACTTAACGAAATTTTTAAAGTAGTAGTACAATGATCAGTCGACAACCGGGAATGTCAAGTCACTTTTACCTGTTGACAGCACTGCCCATAAAAGCAAAACTGTCCCATATGGATTTTTATCAGAAATGAGTTATCTATTAGAATCGATTGTAAACTGTCGGTAGTTTACATTATGCACTAAAAGTTACATGTTTTGTTCAGAAAATATCAGGAAATGCCAAAACTAGGTTGTCCCATCCATAAAAGCCTACGCAGGAATAAAATTTGCCAAAGCGTTTATCTCGGCTTGCTGTTCTTCCAGATGGGACTGATATGCTTTTATGGGCAGAGCAGAGCAGCTGTGTTTTTCGATGCGCATCTTGCAGTAAGCGGTTTATTCGATAGCAACTATTGTTGCAGCTCATGTGCTTTCGTCATTAAAAGTAAACAACTGGAGATGTCCGGTGAAATAAAGCTGATGATCAAATTCAGTTTCCCATATGGAAGTGCGAAACACACCATTGGTGAAACAGTCAATTTCGTGAAAGCATTGGATGCGAATTCTGGTCAAATGGAAGCAACTTAGCGGCTTGCGGAAGAGAAAGCACTTTTCATAATTTTCCATTACTCTCCATCCTGTTTTTAAACGATTTTATTTATTTCGATTTTGCCTTTATGTAGGCTGGGTACAGCATTTCAATACCAACTTATTTTTCTTGGATTTTTTTTGGGAATTTTTGAAAAATTAAGTTACATTAGATTGGGTTGAAAATTGAGATTACGTGATCAAAACTAGAGGTGGAAAGAAATCGCGTGAAAACAGAATTTAGTGTATACTGCTGAAAAGGCAGTCGAGGTATGCATGTCGACTGCAATTACATGAAGATCCAATAGTTAAAAGTTTTTTCGTTGGCAAACTTAAGAACCGAGCAGCTGATGTTACCGAAGGACATGGCAGCATAAGAAGCAGCTATGAAACCCAACCAAACTCTAGGGGTCGACCGCATATTAGCAGAGATGCTCACAGCCGCCTCCATGCTATCCGCACAAATTTTGCATTTTGCAAGAAGCTATTATTAGCATTTAAAATGACAAGAAACATTTTTGCAGTAAACTTATATGTTGATAAAACCGATGAAGAAAATCGATCAATGCTAAATGTTGGCAATGGAAAAAAATTAAATTCGAAAACTATAAAACAGAATACCGGAGAAGACGGAATTATTAGAAATGTTTTTGGAGCTTAGTCAATTGAGCAAGGTTGTGATTGATTCCCTTCTCTTTTGTTACTATTCAAGAAGTAAAATGTCAAAATCTTCATGTCTGGTTGAAAGCTTACCAATAACTAATAGCTTTTATTTTAACATAAACCAAAAGTTGCTAGTTGTTGCAATTGGTCGGTTAATGAGAGGTTTGAGATATTTATAACCGATGTTCTTAGCACTTGAAATTACACATGAAATCGATACGTTTCATTAGTAATCATAGGCCAAGGCCACCAATCAAAATCACAAAGAGTCCAATTTTAACCACAGCTCCGGGCCCCTCCAACTTGCTTTTCTCACGCCTAAATGCTGCGATTTTAACCTTGTTTTGATGGCTACTTTTCCCCTCGTCGATTTCATTAGGATCTTGTATAATACCAGATGACGACAGCTGCACCACTGACCACCACCGAGGGTGATGATGGTGGTGGTGGTGACTATGGTGGCGATACATAATCGATTATTCAAATTACTTCGAGGGGCGTGATCTGCCGTTGATAAATGCACCTGGCCGATAGTTTGCCAATACAATTGCACAGTAGCGAATCAATAAATCAGTATTAGACATGTGCTCGGAAATGCTACCTACTACCACAGTCCCCCTTCCTCCCTCCTCCCTCGTGTGCCAAGACTTTTTGAGTGAATGCTACTTTCTTAGAGTCTTGTCTGAATATCACCAATTTTGGGTGATTGTCCTCTATGGGTTATGGCGCTGAAGAAACAGATTTAGTCATATATTAAAAAAATTAGCATGGAACTCACGTTTTCGACAAATGCATCTTGAATGTTAATCTGGAACTGGTTGCTCGATGACTCCTTCGGACGATTCAATTACGTGATTGCTGTCGAGGCACCACTTTGTACGTGTGACACTAATTTAAACGAGGCACTTCTTCTACAGAAAAATAAGACGGGCCCGCTTTTGACCCGTGAAAGGATCCCGAGAATACCTGAAGCTATTCAATATTCAGGTTGCGCCGTAGACACGAACTGTACCGAACAACTAATCCAATCAGTCGATATCCCTGTCTTATGCTGGTTACGTTGTGGTTTTTATCGATCTTTGCACTGCACCGTGACGACGACTAGATCACTATCACTGTCTAACGAAAATAATGGCACACAATTGAGGCGAAACCTGGAAATTGCAAATCACAGAAAATGATGACCTTTTCAAAAGACTCCGCTTCGGAGACCAAGAAAATGGTTCATTTTCTACGCGTCTTTGTTCCTGGCAAGTCACTTTTAAGTTGGCAAGAGGTGTCTCCTAAGGGTTAGCGGCACTGCAAGTTATACCACAGGGTGTTGTACCTATCGAAGCACACACGAGCACACGAACGAGAGACGCGTTCACTCCAGTCGACTGTTCAATCACGAATAATTGGATCTTGCTGGCGGAGCGAGCGGGTGACTGTTCTGCTCATGGTTTTCCGCTAGCTGGTGGCGGTGCCATATAGAGGCGACGAACCTCTCTGCTGGGAGCGGAGCGCTTGCAGTTCGAACGAGGATACGATGGCGCGGTACGGCTGGGTGGAGATATTTTCGGTAAATTGTAGAACTTTGCTTGAACCGAAGAATATGGGTATGATTGTCGATGCGAACAGCTCACCGCCCTCGCTAATTTCAAACATGGACCCTCACCACAAGCCTTTCCTCAAGAATCTGCCATCATTAGCCGATGACGACGACGACAAGGTACGGCATTAACGCGGCCTGCGAAGGTATTCGGCCGGAATGTGATTCTTCGTGAATATTTCCGTGAATGATGAAGTTACTGCGAAGTGATTTTTCAATGTCATTCGTGAGCATGTACCTCGGCGGTCGAATTGCAACATCAATCAGCCGAGGTGGAACAGCAGGCTACGTAGGATTCGAAACAGGCTGCGGAAAGCACGTAGACGTTTTTTCAAGCACCGATCCCCTAGAGAATAAGATTGCACTTCAGAGTATAGAACGGGAGTACTCTTCTAATCATCGTAATGCCTTTCATGAGTTTATCACATTATGCGAAAAACGATCGTTCTACGTATTGGTTCTACGTGAAAAGGCGACGATAATCTAACAATATTCCACATGAAATGCAATTCCGTAGCTTTTTCGCCAATTCTACAGAAAATTCTGCCAATCTCTTGGCTGATTTCTTCTAAACCGTGTTCGTGTACAATTACAATCCGCCACTGCCACTGGTGACTTACAGTCAACAGTACTTCACTTTACGATTTACACATGCCATTGCTCAATGTTTCCGTTGAAGAAGTGTTCCGATTTGTTTTTGTCACGGTAGATCCTGTTCCGGACTAGAGGGTCCAATTTCCCGGGTCTAAAAAAATCCCGGGATTCGGGATTTATTTTTTTCGATCCCGGGAAATTTTGATATGCTTTAAAAAAAACATTATTTTCCAGACATTAACGCTTTTATTCAACATTAAAACTTAACAATGAGTAAATGAATGAATGAATATAGACTCAAACATGTTATAATCAGTTGCTTCTCTTAAAATAAGATTTCAAGAAGCAAAGTTCATGGATACTTGCATCTGACAGTGATGATCTCCTTTTGGAACAGATGTTCGCCGAATCCGAAAAAGCCCTCTCGCTATCCGTTGAAGTTGGCGTGATGGATTTGAGAGCAGTTAACAAGATTTTCAGACCAGCTGTTAGGTCTCCGGTCAACTCGTAAAGAGAAATCTCTTTTTGAATGACCTTTTGAGCAATGTTTCCGCGATCGGATTTTTCTGTCGTTGGCATGCTACTAGATCCAGCATGCTGTTGGATAATGGTTTCCAACTCGTCCTTTAAAGATTGATGTTGGTTCTTACTCGTGTCATCCACCGTTGCTTCATGTTGGTCGTCGGAAGTACATCTGAAAAAACGAGTACATTCTTCTTTGACGAACTTGAACAGCTGGTTGCGTGAAATCACAGGTAACTCAACAGATGATGTTGAGGCAATGCTGTTCTGAAGAAATTTTAGAAGTGAAACCAATTTGATGTTTCGTCTCTCATTGATTCTCTTCAGAACCGCCTCGTAGAGTTTCGTTGAAATAGGGTTGCCCATACTCTTAAGTTTTGATAACAAAAAGCTCAGACTACCTTCCGCCGTCAACAACGTAGCATCTCGACGTCCTAAGGCTTCCGAAACGAGTCGTATTGGCTGCAAAGCTTCAAAGAGGGATCTGACCGAAATAAAATCTTCACTGGATACAAAGGAACTTTCTCCCAACTCTTCGAGTGCTTCCTCTACACAATCATGTAATTTGATATACCGCTCCAGCATTTTTTCGGTGCTATTCCATCTGGTTTTTACGTCCAGCAAAAGCCCAAGAGGTTTCTTGAATCTTCCAACAACTTTATTTTGCAGCACCGAGTTTTTCACCTGTGAATGACGAAACATCCGAACTACATTTCGGATCTGCTTAAGAGTTTTTCCAAATGTTTTGGTATTGTAGCAATCTGAAAAATAAATGACAAGATAATGATAGAAAAACAGTAATATGAAAAACAAATAACAGAAGTTCATAGCGTACCGGATGAATCGTGTCGGTCTTCGTTGTCACTATCTTCGTCATCAAAATCCTGAATTTCAGAAGAAGAATGTTCTTCACTTGCCGTGGACTCGGATTCGTTGGAGTTCATTTGATTGATGACGTATTGTACGGCAAGGTGCAATGCGTGATTGTAGCATAGCTGGTGGAAATATGGCACGATTTTCCCAAATTTTACCATTACCGAAGCTGCGTCAGATGTTACGGCCGTTATATAGCCAATGTGAATGCCGAAGTCCTTGGTAACTTGTTCGATAGCATGGGCAGTCTTTTCTGCTGGGAAAGATCCGTGAATCCGAGACAATCCTAGGTTGTAACATGAACCATCTGCGAAATGAACGTTAATGTTCAAGTATCGCTTGTTAGCAGAACTGGTCCACTCATCTGTTGTAAGACTGACGAGCTCCTTTTTTTCAACGATCCTGTCGTGAAATTCCTTCTTGGTCTGATTTTTAAATTCATCGTAGAACTCATGGATGAGTTTGATTATCGTGGATTTGGATGTTGGTAGTTTAAATCCTCTAGCTGACACTGACTCTCGAATAAACTTGCTCTTCGTAATGGCAGCAATCGATATCCCGTCCAATGCAGCTAGACGTGCAACAATCTCGCGAAGTGAACTTCGTTTCAGAAACGGATCCAACGACGATTGCTTCACAGTTGAATTAACGGACAACTTGGGCTGCTTCGCCGGTACCGGAGTTGGTTCTGCACTTGGCAAATTATGCTTATTTTTTAGATGCCGCCACAAACCACTAGTTGAAGCACCTTTGCATAACAGAATTTGCGGACACTTCAAACACTGGGCGCGCTCGTCGGGAAGTTTCTTAAAATGTTGCCACACGTCCGCCATAGCTTCTGCAATTAATTTAAGACAAATCGCGTAAGACCAACGCTTTGAAGATAAAAAAAACATTTGTTTTACCTACTTTGAGTGTAATTACGACGCGAATCAGTATTTGTACCGGAAATATGGAACGTTATGCTTGCGAATGCAGTGAATCCAGGAGCCTCCTTTGTTATTGTTGTGTTTTTTTCATTCCTTTTGTTTTCAAGCCCCTCACACACCAATGATGCTTATATAAGGTCTGGTGGCACGAACATTACGATGAAATCTCGACGAATATTGAAAACGGTCCTATCTGTTTATATCGATTCTTTTCACCTATTTTCTCTTTCACTAACCACAGAGATGTAAACACAATCTCGAATATTTTTGCATAAGAGATTGAAAAAGAAAAAAATCGGGAAATCCCGGGATTCGAGTAAAAATCCCGGGATTCGGGATTTAGATTTCCCGAATTGGACCCTCTATTCCGGACGGTATTCCTCCGTTGTGAGTGAGTGCTCTATTTGTAACCGCTCTCTGTCAAGCGATGTATTGTATGTGTGTCATCATCTACCACTCCCCCAGCTGGGGGCGTTAGACAAGTAGAACTGCGAATAATTTGATCAAATATCATGCTCTGTTGTGGTGCCCTTTATGTTATGAAGACTAGTTATTCAAAAAGGGTAACTTTTGAGGCAATACAGGGTGTCCTCAACAAGTTGAGGGAACATGATTCACTAGATATCCACAACAAGTACAGCATAACATCACATAGACACCCTTATTCACACTTACTACTCAGGGGTTAGAAGCTCAAGAAGAGCCATCGTCGCCAGCTAATGCTTGAACCGGGTACCTAGGACTCCCACGATATACCCGCGGCAATAGTCAGCAGACGATACCCTGTGCGTATTTAGTATGTAATATGTTTTATTTAGATATACAAAATGTTTGAAGCCATGCATCATCAAAACCATAATTTGCATCACCACAAATACACTTTTCAACAACCTTCAACTGGAACGAACTCACCAAATCATTACACACGGGAGCGCATTCCCGATGCTTCCACGCATATTTTTTTCTAGTCATTTTTAAACAATTCCTTCTCCAGCGATTCCAACCACACAATAATTAAATATCACTTTTCTTCGCTTGTCTTTTTCAATGCACATCGTAAAAACCTTACATAGATCAGCGCAGTCACACCGGCAACAAAGGGAAGCGAGAACTCACCAGGCACCTAAGCAAAAGGGGGGGTGGAACCATCAGCACAAACCATTCCAAATCAAATTATCGCGCCCGGGACACAAAAATATTCAAAACTGAAATTTAAAACAAACACTAGCGATGCCTCAAATTTCTGTTCCGGGAGCACAAGCGAATACAAAAAAAAAAAAAATAAACAACTCAGATAACGACATCTCTTCTGATGCTTGCAAACATGATGAATCACGTTTTCTTTCTCGATTCTAAAACTTCCCAGAAAGCGAGAAAACCATCAATCACACACTTATACCCGTCCGGGAGGCAGACTGCAAGCGCTGATCAGGCAAAGCAGCCGAAAACTACGAAAGCGAACGCACGCCCAAAACAGAGAGCAAAACTTAAAACACAACCGTATCCGAAGAGGTTCGAAACTGAACTTCCGCTCTCTGTCAAGCGATGTATTCCTTGAATTTTGAAATGAATCCATGATAATTACAAAATGAAAACTATGGTGGAATATCCATACTCAGTTTTTGGACCAGGTGCATCTGTCGAAGTTGATTCGTTGGGATGTCGATCCAATTGACGTCTGGAAGTTAGTTGGATCATCGCTCAGTGCTATAATCGGTCGCGAGTTGTGGCATAGCAACGTTTCCATGTCGTCGAATGCAAGAGTATGCTTCCCAGGGACAAGAATGAAGTGCTTTTGCGCTGAATGTATTGCAGCTTCCCATAAGCCGCCGAAGTGAGATGCCCTCGGGGGATTGAAATGACAGCGAATCTCTTGCTGATTGCACTCGTGAGTGATAGCGTTG